TTAATATTTTTTRCATGTTCCTGGTATCTTACCTTATATGGCATTTTTCTCTGGGGCGCGAGTTCTGGCGCACCCTGTATTTAAACGAAGACGAATACAAAAACTACAGGCAGATTATTAAACAGGGTGTTTACGGTCTTGGAGTTGAAAATTAATAGAAAAGTACAGAAATATTGTTACCGAAAAAAAACCTCACACAATTGTTATTATTAAGAATGTTATTTAACTCCAAAATACGGTTTGAGGGTCACTGAAATTATTTCTTTGTTCAGAAAAAATTGTATTGTTGCAACAAATAAAAAAATCGTATCCATGACAATGAAATGTCACTTCATAGTTTCGACACGACTGTCATCATTTGCTTTGCTTTTGTAGCAAACCAGAGAAATGGTTTCCAATAGGTTTGCTTCGTTTTTCTTATTTTTGTTTTTATTTTTCTTCTTGTGATAGCCTCCAGCTTTTTGTGTATAATCTCCTCTGAAATTAAAATGATTAAAAAATGCTTCCGTAAGGAGAATATTTTACGGCAAGAATTAATTATATGTAGAGAATAAGCTTTTTCATACAATTATATGTGGAGTGGAATTTCACACATCAAAATCAATATGCCAAGTTAGCCATTTTTTGTTAAAGGCTTAAAATTCACAGCAGTGCCTAAAGTGCTTATTTCGTGCATCGACAGAAACATGCCAACTACATTTTGGACTATTTTAAGTAATTACATTAATAAATAATGTAGGAAAAAGTTTTTTTTTTCTAAAACATGAAATTTACGATATTGAAAATTTTTTGCGAGTTTAATATCTCCATGTTTTCATAATTTCTATTCTCGACATAAAATCGAATCGATATGAGTTAAATTGCTCCCGTGTAATAATAAAGCGGGTATACCACGTAGCCTTTATCAGGAAGACAATTGGTGCAGGAAATCGAACTTCCTCCATAACAATTTTAAAATTGTCTTTATCGGCGTACCTGCCCTATAAGTGGTTGTTAAACTGGGATTAAAACGACGGGTATATGTGACAATAAAACCTGAAAATAGTTAATGTGAAATTTTACAACCCCTCGTAAAGCTTAGGTGTAAAATCTCCACCAAAATATGCTTTCATTTTTTACTTCATCGTTGCGTTTTATAAACACACACACAGTTTACAATTTTTTTCAGAATTTTTTTAGTATAATTGTTAATGCTAATGATAGACTAGCATTAGTGGGATCGTCTGTGTTCCAATATCGGTTATTTTGCAACGTGAAAGGCATCCGACCGTACCAAATTAAATCGAAAGAGGACTGAACAAGGACGCTCGGTCCGGTAATACAACTCCGGGCGTCTTGCTCTCGGAGTTATGATGACGGATCAACTAACCGAAACAGCCTGTTGCCAAGAACGAATATTAAAGAAATTCCAGACCAGGTGAACTTGATGGTTCATCTATAAACCGCAGCGATGTATAAACCGGATTTTTCAACGAAAGAGCCTTTGATAACCGGAAATTTAAAAGCGGCTCTGTTAAGATAGTTTCAATTTTTGCACAAAGGAAAGATTAATATTTAGTTTAAGCTTCAAAAGCAACAACAGATGAAAAATAATGCTTGAAATAAATGCGGTTTTCCGAATATTTTTGGGGCAATTTGCCCCCTGTATCTAAACAAGATTTTTTTTGCATGTTCTCTTGCTTTTGCGTTTTGTCAAAGTGCCGTCTCATGCGGTGGCAAACCTCAATCGAGAAAAGATTGCAGGTRGGGTACATTTTCCGGCGTTGTGGGTCGGCAATAAAAAAAAATCCAATACCGGATCAGCGTCGTGCTCCCTCGAGATTCGTCTTCTGGCGTACAACAAGTGTGGATCCATCACGGGTATGTATCCAGTCGACGGATCCAGTGCTGCTTACCCCAAGTCCAATTACAAACTTTTACCTATCGGCGGTGGCGGTCTAATCCCCTCACAAACTAATCGAACGTCCGCTGGAATAAATTTCGACCGAAAACCATCCATCACATTCAAGAAAAGCTAAGTATGTGCGACGTCTCTGGCAAAATACTAGATGGTATAAGAATGAACTGAAACTCGGTTGCCGAAAGGTTTACTTGATGTACGAGAAAAAAGAAAAACATTTGGTTTAGGTTTTKCACCAGTGGTTTTTAAATAATAATAATTTTATTATCACGATTGCTTCACTACTAAATATAAATAGAAAATATGTAATATAATACTAAAGATAATTTATAATTGTAATACCAACATAATAGTAACGAGACCAACAACAACTCATTTGCTAATTGTAAAATAATAATAGCTGACCTAATGCATATTTCACCAACTAGCCTTATGAATGGATTAATTAGCGAGCTGTGTTGGTTTTTAAAACTTATTTTTCTATGTTTTTATTAGTTGCATTAGCAGAATTTAATTAAGTATTTGTATTTTTAATATTTCTGTCTGACGATTAAAAAGCATTTAAGATCGTTACTTCTGCTCTGTATAAAAGCAAGAAAAAACCGGATCAGAATACCTAACGAGTAGTTGACAATAGAATTTTTAAAAGTCGAGCTTATGCATATGTTTCCTGTTTTATCCGTGCAATCTTTTTCGAGGACTTTTCTTCATCTGCATAAAGATTATTTCATAAGGATTCTGCAAAGTAATTAAAAACCTTAACAAAAGCTTTAAAACGAATTCGTGATTATCTCTATTGTCGTAGCGATGCTTAAAGTTATTTCTATTAGCTTGGTCGSGGATGCGGATTTTATTTTTATACAGGTGCCCCAGAACTCGCACCCTAGAGAAAAATTTCAAGTAAAATAAGATACCAGGAACATGGAAAAAATATTTAAAAAATTCTATCTGTTAAAAAATTTTGACATTAATTTTTTGACATTAATTAACACAATTTTTCCATGTTCATGGTATCCTACCTTATATGGCATTTTTCTCTGGGGCGCAAGTTCTAGTGTATCTTGTATACATATGTAGAAGAACGTTGTTTATTATAAAGCGACGACGAAAAAGTGTTTATTTGCGGACTAGCGCAGGGCCAGACTAAAAAGAAGGTTTTTCAAACATTGCCACTATTTCAGTTTTGATTTTTACAAAACAATCAACAAAATAAAAGAATAAAAACAAACACTATTTATTGCTAAAAACTATTTTCCTCGAAAGATCTTCTCTGCTATGTAACGCCAAAGACTAATATGTAGTACCATCAACATCTAGCAAGCGTAGAAATGTAGAACGTGTATAAATATCCCAATGACAAATAAGAAATGTCAAAATAATTTTTATGTAAATTATGATAGGAAGCTGTGGTTCAAAATTTGTAAGAATAAACACCAACAACATATCATTTCAGTATGTTTTGTTATGTTCATAGAATAATTCAGTGTGCTTAGATAAATCTTTATTTTTTTTTATTTTTTTGACATCTAGCTAACATAGAACTGCCATGCGACATACGTCCTCAACTATTAGGCCTACTTGATAGAAAGACTTTTTGATCACACTGTACCTACAGGATGTCTCACGAGCCTGAAAAAAATTTTGAAGCAACCAACATTAGATACATTTCAAAGATAACGTATTTTAAAATATTTTGTTTTAATAAATTAAACATAGTGACCTAACAGCACACTTCAACTTTGATTTATAAAAAGTCAAACTTTGAAAAATTTCGTGAAAATTCTAAAATGTTGCCGAAAAGAACAACAAGATTCTCATTTATAAAGAATATTTGAAAAACGCTTCGCAGACTGCACGTTTTTATCCAAAGCGATTTCTAAATAGAGGGACTTTCTAAAACTGGAGTAGTCATTTTGACTGTCAAAAATAAGAATACGATTACTATGTTTAACTAATAAAAACGAAATATTTTACATATGAAATGTAATATTGGTTGCTGCAAAAAAAATTTCAGGCTCATTATTACTGATGGGACAGCCTGTATAATAATAATAAATAATATAGGGGTTTTTCTTACACATTAATCTTACCTCAAACAATTCATCAACATCATTATTTGATAGCAATATACATAATGGTGAATCTTGCCTGACTGCAAAATCTACACGGCGTAAATAATAATTGTCTGCCAAATAATTTCTTCCTCTTTTGCCAGGTCTAATAATATAATAATAATAATAATAATTCCTCTAGTTCTTTTTGGATATGCCTACGGTATTACCATTATCGAAACTGGTTGTCTGTATAATATGTGGTTTGTGACTTTGAAATTAAGTTGACAACATTGAATAATAGAAATAGAAGATATGAAAGTTGTCAATTTTCTGCGTGTTCTTCAATGTTACAAACTTAATTTCAAAAGTATAGACCACATTGATTAGAAATTTAGTTGCAGGTATGGTACGTATGAGTATAAATGTTGCATATAAGAATTAAAATTCGCAGAAACTTTTGAGTAAAACCAAAGCCAAACGCCTCTTACAATTACTTGGACGCTTACCTATAGCTATTCAGACCTAAATACAAATCTTAAACAATTATTATTACCAAAGCAACAAAAGCGTACGGATAATGGAACCTATCATTCTGGAATGATCGTCAATATAAGAGATTACTTGGATCTAACAAAATGAATTAGAGGTCGATGTTTTATGCAAGTAAACAGACTATATTATTCGCATCGAAGGAAAAGAGTGTCTATTTGCGGTTTGGCGGCGGTTTCCTCCATCGAGTATATTTCCGTTTGTGGCGAGGCGCTTTGGTCCGCGTCCGTGTCGTTAATTGCTGCGTATCTATCGGTCCGATATTGGGGATCCTTCGGCGCGTCTCCAGACGATGGTGGTCGTGTCGATGCATCGGCTATCTGGCGTCGCCGTCGTCGTCGTTGGCGGCGCTTGCGCCGGTGCACCTTGTCCGCCGACCAGGAGCGGCGTCAGTGCAGTGCGGAGCGTCTCGACGAGCGGTATGTGCGTGCTCGGCGGCGCCGAGCAGAGCGCGACGGGCGCGGGACCGGCCACCTCCAGGTGCCTTCGCTTTCATCCACCAACTGCCACCGCTGTGCTTTTGTCTTGCATCAGTCCAGTGTGCTTGTCCGTCKCGTTCTGTTCGGCTCGCCGTGCGTCGGCGGCGGCGGGCGTCCCCGCCGCCTCCGGAGCACGTGCCCGTGCGCTTCAGCGAATAACCGTGTGCTTTTCCAGGCCCCTTGTAGTTTCCGTAGTGTGCCGTCCTCTTGTGCACCATGACACGGTGTTCCGCCCCGACGCCGCCACCGCCAGCGTGACCAGGCGGCCCGACGCGCCTCGGATCTGACGCGAATAGGGACCGATAACAGGTGCGTTATCTTATCTCGACACGTACAGGTGAGATTGGCCAGTTTCGTGGCTGTGTCTCACCGACTATGTTGCACTCGCTGGACGCGCTAGCAGGCAAATTGTCCCCGGGAGCGCCGACCCAAAACGGCCCCCAATCGTCCGTCCTGGACACCAATGCCAACAGAGTGCATCCCTACATGAAGCAGAATCCCAACACAAACGCCACGTAAGTCATCACTACTTGTAAGGTTTTATCTGGCCCGGAGCCACCTCTATCGACACCCCACACACAGTCCTATCATCATCCTCACCAATGCCCCATGAGGTATTCGTCTTTGCTGCCAGACGACCGTATATTTAGATTCATTGGACGTGCGTGACATCCGAACAATTTCTACGATCCAATTCCAAATTCTGCACGAGACATCGCCAGAATTCTATCGCGACCAAGAAACTGCCAACCTTCACTCATTTGCACAATTAAACAACACCAGAGCCAACTCTAATGCATTCCGCTCATTGTCTACTTAAAATAAATCTCTAATGCAAACACAACCGAAAAATCCCTTATCTAGACCAAATATAACTCAACTGGCTATAATAGAAGTTAATGACTACATCAAAATGTAGCTTCAAAAACTGTGAAGATTTTAGATCAAATGTACCCAAAGTCACTATTATATCGTTTGGAAATTTTGTTTTGTTTAACATTAATGAATCACTAATTTCCATGATACCTGTATTTTCAACGATCCGAAAAACAGTACTTTGCACACACTGATAACACCGATATGACAATTCTCGTCATTAATCAATCTTAYCACAAATTTGCCACGTTTTGAAAGCATTATGTTGAATCCCCCGGTCCCTTGAGATACCTGATGGCTGCGCGACGGATATAATATTGTTAACAATCTCTTCTTTGCCTATTCTTCCATTCACGAGTTTCACACCATAGGTTTAAATTGATTTTTGGTGAAATATTTTCCCCTTGAAAACATCAAGTTTTTAGATGAATACAACCACTTTAATGCCATTCACTATCGGCGAAACTTTTCGTTAATGGTTAAAGAAATTTCCACTTTGAAAATTTGGCAAAAGTAAATAAAAGTTGTCAAATCCTTGCGAGCGTCCATGCGCAATTTAAAATTTATTTTGATCGTGACGCATCCCTTAATTCGTGAAGGTTTTCCCGGGAGCAACATGCCGACCTCCTTTTATAAATCACATTACGAATAGGCGATCAATATTTGCAAAGTTGGCGAAAGAAAATTAATGCGTGTGCAACACGATGGCAGTTTTCTCTCACTTTTTAATATTTCCCCTGTTGCGAATTAATGCGACTCGTAATTCAGTGTTACCTGTTGAGAAGAAGCTTTGCGAGAAAAGCTCGTGGTTCTTTCTAGCGTTAGTTGAACGATGTTTTTTTCCGATTTATCTATTGTTTGCTTAAACTGATAACAGGCAGTTATGTAGAGCAGCGTTGCCGGTTTTCGTGATGAGGGATTCTATGTCGAATGAAGAAAAATTCAGTCTCGATCCTTTCGAGCCATTAAATTAATGAATCCTGCGGCACGTCGCTACCCAAACAATGTGCCACTGCTTGAACACACATCAAAGAAACTTTGCCATCGCGTCTGCGATTTTACGACGGAATAAAGTACCAATGTAAAATAACATTATCGCGAGAAGATATTTACCCACTAAACTCGTGTGTTTATTTTAACCAATACAAGTGATTTTACGCCGCTGTCACGACGTCACGTTAAAGATTCATCGCACCAAGTGGTTGGCTGATGAAGGAAGCGGCCAAAATAACTGGCGTTGTCTGGGGTCAGTGATAATTTTCATAATTTTTTCTAATAATAATTTTAGAGTATTTTTGGTTTCATCTCAAAATAATGATTAGCAGGAAATAAAGGAACAATTAAGAGCACTCTAAAATGAGATAAAGCTTAATACAGATTTCAAGGATTTATGTGCGTACAAGTTAAAATGTCAACAGAAGGAAATTCATTAATCATACTGGCAAAAGGGTACACTAATGTGCTTAATGTTGTGAGCATCAGAGAGCTTCTATATCAAAAAATGTTTTCATATAAAATAAAGATTCTAGAGTACGAAAACAATAATTTAATACAACGAAACTGTTTTTTTTTTCACATAATATTGTTCATTTAACTCAATCATATTCCTTTTTTATGTCATTTTGACTATTGTTTTGACTAGTTGTTTGATCTCTTCAAATAGGCATTTCTAGCTGTAATAATTTTGCTATATAAAAATTTCAAAGATATGAGAGTTTAAATTTTGCACTTTGACTCTATTTACTTCAGTTGGAAAAATAATTCTCCAAATTTTTTTGCTACAGGCTATTAGAAGAGGAAACAAGGAAGCTGCATCCTAAATTGTAACTCTATTTAATGTTATTTGTGGCTTTTATTGCCAAAACTTTTGTACCTTTACTAAATAATTATAAAAAAAAAACATATACAAGATTATCAGTATCATTGAATAGACATAAAAAATGTCAAATGTCAAAAAATAAATGTTAAAATTTTTCGACAGATAGAATTTTTTAAACATTTTTTCATGTTCCTGGTATCTTATCTTATTTGAAWTTTTTCTCTGGAGCGCGAGTTCTAACAYACATTTCAAAATCGAACCAGGTATAGTTCTTCTAGAAATAAGWGAAAACAGAGTCAATTGCTTTATGGATGTAATTATCCTTGGTAAACCCACAGACGGCTACCGGCGGTTTTAACCCCCAATAAAAATATCTCCGAACTTATCCAGCTYGACTGGTTTCCAGGGCCGTATTCACTTTATGCAAAGCTTTATGTATGAAAACTAAGCTATTCAATAGCTAATGTTAAATGTTGCGGTTTCTTTTTCTGTGCAGCTTTTAATAAAAATGTTTTTTTTATTGGTTGTAGCGTATTTTTTGTTTAAATAACAGTTTTCTCGACTCGAACAATTTCCTGAGTCCGTCTCTCCTTGCAAACATTTTGACCTGCTGCAACGGATTTTAAAGCAATTGACTCTGTTCTCACTTATTTCTAGAAGAACTATAACTAATTTTTACCAACGCAACAACGATTCATTCGTGACTCTTATGACGGTTCTCACAGAAGCAATCATCACACCATGTTGAAATAATATTTTTATACCCAAAACTTTATGGACTGGTCAAATTTTCTAATGAAACTTACAAACCAAAGTATTGAAATGATAAAAAATTTAAGCATTTAGATCGTATAACGTAATAAAAAGAAAAGCACACAAAAGTTTTGATTTACACAACTTACAAATGTAGTTTTTGTCTGAGTTAAAAGAAAAATCACGGAGAACTAATTTACACTGCTTTCAACCAACGTGCAGACAAAAAGAAAAACTGTAATAACGAAAATATGCAAGACTGTCAGTTAGAACCCTATGAATGTGATTAACGAAAAGACAAAAATATTACTTATCTTTTACTCTTGTAAAACACGTGTTAGGAAGTTCAACAAAAACTGTTAAAAAAGCACTTTAAAAGTTTAAGTTAAAAACAAAGGGAAATAATATTCTCTAATACGTAAATCACTACAGATTTATTACAACACTAATTGCAATCGCAACTCCACACTCGTTCATACTAGAGGACGGAGTAGCATTTATAAAAATACTTGGATATCCCATATTAGGAACTATCCTCATATTAGGCGACTTTTCTCTAACAGATTTTTTAATAGCATAGGTAAAAAAATCCCAATAATTAATATCTACACCACATCATACATAATTTTTGACCAAAAGTAAATATAAATTATTGGTAAAATAATATTAGAAGTTTGTTGTTGGAACATTTTCTCTTTTATTTTCTGCGGTAGTTATTTTAAAATTTCCATAAGAATTGCTTAACGTCCGACAAATTTATATACCTTTTTGTTGTACCTTTATATTATAGATACAATAAGTTAGTACCCTATTAACCTTAAAATCATTTCCTTAAAAAGGATAAATATAAAATTGCAAAAATAATGTAGTTTTACAGTAAAAAAATACACCTAATAAAAATATAATAAAATGGTCTGGCATAAAATCAATAAATTATTTGMGGATTTATGAATATTTGACATGTAGGTGAACACATAGATACACGTTGAAATGGTAAATATTGTCGTATCAACAAGAAATTACTCCCTACGATTTAGGGATTTTCTTGAATAGGGTGTCATAAATTTGGTTAAGTTGGTTTCTGGTGACAAATAAAAGATATCGTAACTAGTATCATAGTCACCTGTCAGCTTGAATGGATAATTTTATTGTAACTGACAAAAAACGTCAACCGTCAACAACAAAGGGTAACCAACCCTAGGCATTCAAAATTACTTCTGAAAATTCTAGTTACAAACAACATGAAAAACGTAATTTTCCTAAAAGTTCAAATCCTAGSTGGTAATTTCTTGTTGACAAATATGTATTTATGATTTTGTATCTTGAGTGATTCAAGAGTGTTTTTTTAGTATAATCAACAGATAAAAAGTAAAAATATTCCTTAACAAGTTATAAAATTTTATCATTTGGGCAATTTTAATAAACGCCACATTAACATTTCCGAGTAATGTGAATTTATCGTTTAGAATTGTCCGATTTGAGACCATTACAAAGCCGATTAACACGCGACGTTTTCCTCACCTCATCCGTTGCCGGAATCGTGCGATCGTCAGTYTTTTTCTTCTCTCCGGAACGATTCCGGTCTGATTTCAGTCGTAAAAATAGGGCATTGTTTCCTTGATGGTTCTCGGTTGCTTTTTCGTTCATTTAAACCATGACGACGATCATCTACTTAAGCAGATGTCCGTGTTTCGGGGCACGGGTAAAAACGGAAGCCRCGCTTCAAACGAATGTAAAAATAAACGACGCGGCGTCGTCACCGGAGCGCGAGTTTTTTCCTCTTGCACAAAAACATTAGAAATCTAAAAATCGCTCTGCCTCGCTGAAAGAATAGGAAAGCTTATCTGCATCATGTGTGTGTGTGTGTGCGGGTGTTTTTTCGGCGGCGCTTGAAACGTTGTTGACGTTTTAAATAAACCGTTTCGTCTCAGTGCACGCCAGCTACCGTGCCCGATGACAGATTTAAACTTGTTAGTAATTAGTTGCTCACTTTGATTATTCCGACAAACGAAAGATGAGATAATTGGGAATTGAGAGCCCATATTAGATGGGCCAGGACGAAGGAAA